ACAAATGAACAATGGCAAAAGTCAACTGATTTCTATGTTGAAAGAAGTGAAGAAAGAAGTAATATGGTGTTCGAGGCCATGGTACAAATGAGTGAAGTTGCTAGATATGTTGGGGAACTAGCTGTTGAAGCCAAAATAATTGAGCATCAAGTTGATCCAGTTTCTAAGTGCAGAAAGAAGGTGTCATGGTTAATGAAAGAAATTATAGAGCTTAATAGGAAAGCTACGCCTTATCTGTAGTTATGAACTATTATAAAGAAACTTTTGTATGCCGATGAAAGTTGTTCTATGACAGTTAACTTTTTGGGATCAATATCTTTTTGCATACATACATTTTGCATACATTCATCATTCATTTCATAAATTTCTTTATGAATATGTTTTTTTATTTATTAAGATAAAATTTATTAATTAAAATTTGGAAAGAATAATATTAAAAGATTTTTCAATCGCAGTTATTCTGGCCAAAAGAGAAATACAACATCACTACGGTACTAGACAAGCTACTAAGAGAATTATGGAGGATAAATACAACGTATTGAGGAACAGCATAATAAAGAACAATCAGAAATGAGAATGAAGCTGGAGAAAATTGAAGCCAATATTGCAAATTCACAAGACATTATGATGCAAAAAATAGATGACATGTTTAAAAGGCAGGCTATCATTGGAAAAATGCATGAAAATCCTGTATCTTTCGACCAAGAACCTATGTATCCTCTAGGTTTTCCACCAGAACCAATTTATCATTCTGGTACTACACCTATACAAATCAATGCTCGTACATCTGCATTACAAGAAGCCAAACCACATGAAGATCAACAAGTGGATCCTGCATCTTCAAGCAAAAATCCGCTTATATCAGATGTGAAAATAGGGGATATGAATACTGAACATTTAATCCCAGATTTGAATGAGCTGAATGAGAAACAAAAAGTAAATGAAGAATTGACCAGACAGATCAAGAGCTTAGAAGAACGAATGAAATCCGTGGAAATAACTGAATCATTCTATGGGTTTGACGATAGTGAGTTGAGTTTGGTTCCAGACTTAATCCTCCCCATCAAGTTCAAAGCTCCTGAATTTGATAAATATGATGGTACTACATGCCCTTCGTCCCACATTACTATGTTTTGTCGCAGAATGGCAGGATATGTGAAGGACGAAAAATTGTTAATTCACTGTTTTCAGGATAGTTTGACAGGACCGGCTTTAAAATGGTATACTCAATTGACCAAAGCCAACATTAGATCCTGGAAAGATCTGGCTAAAGCATTCTTAGAGCAGTACCGCCACATAACAGACATGGTTCCTGATAGATGGACTCTCCAAAATTTGGAGAAAAGGAATAATGAAACATTCAGACAGTATGCCCAGAGATAGCGTGACACGGCAGCCCAAGTTCTACCACCTTTGTCAGAAAAAGAGGCCACGGTAATGTTTGTCCATACATTGAAGGCTCCTTATTTAAATCATCTAATGGGGAATGCAACCAGAAATTTTGCAGATTTGGTCATTTCTGGAGAACTCATTGAAAATGTCTTGAAAAGTGGCAAAATTGAATCAAATGAGGGGTCTAGTTCCAAAAGACCTATGTACCGGAAAAAAGAGAATGAAGTCAACAATGCAAACTCTTACAACAAGGATTCATCGAAAAGTGTTACAATAACCCAGCCAAGGGTTAAGAAAGAGGAAACAAACACTAATCGAACAGAGTCCAGAGGATCTCGAAAAGAAAATGAAAGGTTGTCTTTTACACCTTTACCAGTACCATATGCGGAGATCTATGATTCACTGTTAAAAGTAGATGTCATACGACCCTATCCTTTGGTTCCCATGCAACCACCATTCCCTCCTTGGTATGATACAAAGGCACACTGTGTTTACCATGAAGGAATTACGGGGCATTCTATTGAAAACTGTTTGGCATTCAAAAGGGTGGTCCAAAATTTGATCAACACTGGAAAGTTGGAATTCAATACACCATCTGCATCAAATCATCCATTGCCAAATCATGGAGATAAAGACGTGAATGCAATTCAGGAAGAGAACAGAAAGAAAGCAAAAACTGACATTTCTGAAATTAAATCTCCTTTTGTTTGGGTATTCCAACAACTCTCTTTAGCCGGTATAATTCCACAATAATTCAGGACAAAGCAGAATGAAGGCAAGAATTATTGTGAATATCATCAGGAGAAAGGGCATAAAATTCAACTATGTCCTGAGTTTAGAGATTTGGTGCAAAAATTGATGAACAACAGAGAAATAGAATTCTTTGAAGAAGAACCAGGGAAAAAAGAGGATGATGTTTGCTCATCAGAGGATTCTAAACCTAGTCAAAGAATAAATGATCCTGTGATCATTAATGTGAAATCATCTACGGTGATTCCTGCACCAATAAAGCCGAAAGTAGTTATCACCACTCCTCTACCATTTCCATACAAAGATACCCGCAGGGTACCTTGGAATTATACTACCAATGTTTCAATGGTAGAAAGATCTGTTTCTCTAGAAAAAACAGAAGAGAAAAAAAAGAGTTTGGGTACAACATCGAAGTCTGAAGCAGTGAGCGAAGTCGGTTTCTTTACAAGAAGTGGGAGATGTTACTCTCCCGAAACATCCAATGCTTCAGAACAAGTGAAAGCAAAAGAAAAAGCCATGTCAATACCTCAGAAGGTATTTGATGATGAATCCCCTCCAGCATTCAATGAGCCTGTGACAGAAAAACAAGCTCAAGAATTATTGAAATTCCTGAAACATAGTGAGTATAGTGTGGTTGAACAACTACACAAACAACAAGCGAGAATTTCTATTCTTGATCTATTGATGAATTCAGAAGCACATAGAAATGCTTTGATGAAAATTCTCAATCAAACATTTATCCCTGAAGATATATCCCTCAATAAACTTGACAGAATTGTGGGACATATAGCCGCTGACAATTACATAACATTCACAGATGATGAAATACCAGAAGGCGGAATGGGGTCAGTAAAAGCTTTGAACATCACGACACATTGTCATGGTCATGTGTTGCCAGGAGTATTGATTGACAATGGATCCGTTCTCAACTTAATGCATCTAGTCACACTTCAAAGAATGCCTCTGGATCAATCACACATGAAGAGTTATCAGAATGTAGTGCGAGCATTTGATGGTACTCAAAAAGAGGTGTTTGGGAAAATGGAAATACCGTTGTTAATTGGACCAGTCGTGTACAATATTGACTTTGTGGTGATGGACATCCACCCTACATATAATTGTCTATTAGGGAGGCCATGGATTCATTCAGCAGGAGCCGTTCCTTCTTCATTACATCAGAAATTGAAATTTGTTGTTGAGGGACAACTAATATGCGTAGGAGCTGAAGAAGAAATCATTGCGTCGGTAACAAGTGATGTTCCATATATCGACACCAATGATGATGCTCTTGAATGCTCTTTCCGAGCTCTTGAATTTGTAAATGCAACATTTATTGCAGAAGGAAGCAAAATTCCATATCCCAGATTGTCTGATTGCACAAAGATGACGGTACAACAAACTTTAGGCATCGGAGCTAAAGCTGGGAAAGGTTTAGGAAAGAATCTTCAAGGGATTTCAGTTCCTGTCAGTATAAAGATGAAGAAAGATCGTTTTGGGCTTGGGTTTAAGCCCAATTTTCAGCAAAAGAACAAAGAGATGAAAAGAAGATGTGAAGACAGAAAGACAAAATTGAAAGGAGGAGAAATCCTTTGGAAACACATGTCATTCCCACAGTTGAAGACCATATTCAGATCAGGGGGAACAATTAATGTAGAACAGCAGCTTGTTGAAGCCTTTAAAGAAGAAAAGTTGACGAAAGAACAAGACATAGTTGAAGAAGCTATGAATGGATTATTTATCAATATGATTCTGAATGACAACAAGACTGGCAAATACTTGGATAGGATTCGCCCATGTTTTCCTGGAGAAACACTCAACAATTGGACCACTGAAGATCTTCCTATAGTTTTTAATATTAACGTAGAGTAATATTCAGAACTAATCTTTATGTTTAGCTCAAAAATATGAAAACTTTTTGTTATCTTGTAAAAGAAATTATGTTAAAAATAAGAAATTTTCTTTAAAATTTTCATATGGCAATCATTCTTTACATTTTCTTACATTTTTACATTTATTTATTTCATAAATTTACTATATTCTTTCGGAAATATGTCCGACTTAAATTTGCAGGTGTCATCATGTTAATAGCATGTTTATTCCTAAATTTAATCAAGAGATAAATTTAGAGCAACCTATATGTCTGGAAGAAATCAATGGGTGTGAGGATGAACTGGAATGTGATGTTCCTACTGAACTATTAAGATTGGTAGAAAAAGAAGACAAACAAATTCTACCCCACAAAGAAAAGATTGAGACTGTGAATTTGGGAACAGATGAAGAAATGAAAGAGGTGAAAATTGGTACTACTCTGACAATCCAGATAAAACAAGAATTGATAAATCTCCTTCAAGAGTTCAAAGATATATTTGCCTGGTCTTATCAAGATATGCCTGGTTTAAGCACAGATATAGTAATACACAAGCTTCCAATCAATCCAGAATATAAACCAGTCCAACAAAAGCTCAGACGAATGAGGCCAGAAATGTTGTTGCAAATTAAAGAAGAAGTGATGAAACAGATCAATGCAGGTTTCCTACAGGCATCTAAATACCCAGAATGGATAGCCAACATTGTTCCCGTACCAAAGAAAAATGGAAAAGTTCGAATGTGTGTGGATTACAGAGATCTCAACAAAGCTAGTCCAAAAGATAGCTTTCCATTACCCCACATAGACACATTGGTGGACAATACTGCAGGACATGCATGGTTTTCATTCATGGATGGTTTTTCAGGATATAATCAGATAAAAATGAATCCTGAAGACATGGAAAAAACAACATTTATAACCATGTGGGGCACATTCTGTTATAAAGTGATGCCATTTGGATTGAAAAATGCAGGGGCAACGTATCAAAGAGCCATGGTAACTTTGTTTCATGACATGATGCACAAAGAGATTGAAGTATACGTGGATGACATGATTGCCAAATCCCGAACTGAAGAAGAACATATTCAAAATCTGAGAAAGCTTTTCCAAAGATTGAGGAAATATCAATTAAAGCTCAACCCCGCTAAATGCACTTTCGGGGTAACTTCTGGAAAACTTTTGGGATTTGTGGTCAGCAAAAAAGGAATCGAGATTGATCCAGATAAAGTAAAAGCAATTCAAGATCTTCCACCACCCAATACAAAAAAAGAAGTTCGAGGCTTTTTGGGAAGATTAAATTATATATCTCGGTTCATTTCTCAATTAACTGACAAATGTGATCCATTATTCAAACTACTTCGAAAGAACAACCCTGAAGTCTGGAATGAAGAATGTCAAGAAACTTTGGATATTATTAAGAAATATTTATCCAATGACCCTATTTTAGTATCACCAATGCCTGATAGACCATTAATTCTCTACTTGACGGTCTTCGAAAATTCGATGGGATATGTACTAGGACAGCATGATGAATCTGGAAGAAAAGAAAAAGCTATTTATTATCTGAGCAAGAAATTTACTGATTGTGAAATTCGATATCCACCAATACAAAAATTATGTTGTGCTTTGGTGTGGACTACTCGAAGACTCAGACAATATATGTTATACCATACTACTTGGTTGATATCCAAACTTGATCCTTTGAAATTCTTAATGGAATCACCAGCTTTGACAGGCAGAATGGCTAGATGGCAGATGTTATTATCTGAGTTTGATATTGTATATGTCAACCAAAAAGCAATAAAAGGAAGTGTAATAGCTGATTTTCTGGTCAGTCGTGTATCAAATGATTATCAACCTTTGAGTTTCAATTTTCCTGATGAAGATTTGTTATGTATATCCATGAATGAAGAAGTCAGAACAAATGACACATCTGTATCTTGGAAGCTTTACTTTGACGGAGCATCCAATGCTTTGGGACAGGAATCGGGGCAGTGTTAATTTCTCCAGAAATGTTTATTATCCCTTTACAAGTAGACTAGAGTTCTTTTGCACCAATAACATGGCAGAATACGAAGCTTGTGTCATGGGATTGAAAGCAGCTATAGAAAGAAAAATCAAATGTCTCAAAATATGGAGATTCATCGTTAGTGGTGTATCAATTGCGAGGAGAATGGGAAACAAAAGATCCCAAATTGTTGGAATATCGAAATTTTACCCTCGAATTAGTGAAAGAATTTGAGAGAGTTACCTTCAATTATCTCCCTCGAGAAAAATCAAATGGCAGATGCTTTGGCTACATTAGCTGCTATGTTTCAGGCAACTAAGAAAGTTGATATGATGCCAATCAAAATGCAAGTATATGAAATTCCTGCACATTGTTATAGTGTGGAAGAAGAGGTAGATGGTAAACCATGGTATCATGATATTCTGCAATATATCAAAAATCAAAGTTATCCACCAAATGCATCAGAAATTGATAAAAGAACCTTGAGAAGAATGGCTGCTGGATATTTTCTTGATGGCGAGATTATGTATAGAAGAAGAAATGATCAAATGCTATTAAGATGTTTAAATACCAGCGAAGCTCGAAGCATCATTGAAGAAGTACACAGTGGAATATGTGGAACACATGCAAATGGTCTTTCCATGGCCAGAAAAATAATGAGATTTGGATACTATTGGGCTACCATGCACACAGATTGCATTGATTATGCAAGGAAATGTCATAAATGCCAGATATATGCAGACAAGATTCATGTACCCCCATCTCCTTTACATGTAATGACATCACCCTGGCCATTTTCTATGTGGGGAATAGATGTCATTGGTGCAATCACACCAAAAGCATCGAATGGACATTGTTTCATTCTTGTGGCAATTGATTATTTTACCAAATGGGTTGAAGCTGCTTCATATACCAATATTAAGAGGTCCACAGTCTGTAAATTCATAAAGAAAGAGATAGTTTGCCAATATGGTCTACCAGAAAGGATCATTACAGATAATGCTCTGAACCTGAACAACAAAATGATGACCGAACTTTGTGCGCAGTTTAAGATCAAACATTCAAACTCTGTGGCGTATCGTCCAAAGATGAATGGGGCAGTTGAAGCAGCAAACAAGAACATCAAGAGAATCATTACAAAGACCACTGAAACTTATAAAGATTGGCACGAGAAGTTACCTTTTGCTTTATATGCATACCGAACTACTGTTAGAACATCTACTGGGGCAACACCGTTTTCTTTAGTCTACGGGATGGAAGCAGTCTTACCAATTGAAATTGAGATTCCATCGCTTCGAATATTGAGAGAAACAAAATTGGATGAATCTGAATGGATCCAAGCTAGAGTTGATCAATTGAACCTTGTTGAGGAGAAAAGATTGAAAGCTATTTGCCATGGACAGATGTATCAAAAACGGATGATGAAGTCTCATGACAAAAAAGTACATCCAAGAGAATTCCAAGAGGGTGATCTAGTACTAAAAAAGATCTTGCCTATACATAAAGATTTCCGTGGGAAATGGATGCCTAATTGGGAAGGGCCATACGTTGTAAAAAAGGCCTTTTCCGGAGGAGCATTGATCTTAGCAGAAATGGATGGAAAAATTCTGAGAAATCCAATAAACTCAGATTCTGTCAAGAAATATTATACTTGAAAAGAAAGAAAAAAAAGAAAAAAAAAAGAAAAAAAAAGAGAGAAAAAAGAAAAAAAAAAGAAAAAAAAGAAAAAAAAAAGAAAAAAGGGGGGTCAAGGTGAAAACCCGCAAAGGGCATTTTGTAACCAAATGAAGGATTTGAGTTGAAAACCTGAAAAGGCGGCTCAAATGCAGGTTGATATTAGGCATCTGGCAATTGAACCCTCTTAAGATTTTGACAGTTTGGAAGAAACTTCACATCTACAAGCATTTCGACAACGTTTGAGATCTTCCAGACAAAAGCTTACATCATTTCTCTAAGTTGTGTCAACTTGATTAATTTAGAAATACTTATGCTTATAATTTGTTGAGACATTTGAATTTTTATCATTCTTATGCTTGCCAGAACTTTGAATACAATTCTTTCTATTTCAAGTTCAATTTATTTGAGATTCAATTTATTTTCGAAAATTCAATTTATTCTTTTATATGAATTAACATAATTTTGAAATAATTTAAAGATTTCTGAATATCACTTTATGTTAATAATTTTAAATACATGGAATACAAAGTAAGCAAATCATCACCATCTTAAAGCCATGAACATCAAGATTGTTACACAGGATGCTACCGACAACAAGGTCGAATCCGCCAAATCTACTCATCAATTGCTCCAATCGATCACCATTCAGTTCTTGCACCTCTGTTTTCAAAGATATACTAAGACAGTAGAAGACGATCTTTGCATCACTGATTCCAGCAAAAAGAAACAAGACATTGATATCACTGGGAAACATGTCTCTATACAGATCCTTGTGTATGGTTTTTAAGGAAACCTAGAAGTATTTCCACCTCATCAGATTCAAGTGGAGCAACTTTATTCCTTCCAATCCATACTAGATTCCATTTTCAGCACTCATTAAGAACATACTTCTGGACACTCAAATGAAGGCCATCATTTCTTTGTCAATGGAAAAGCATCAGCACATGGAGGAAGCAGAATAAGAGAAAATCTGTTCTTAATTGACAGAATTATGAATATAGCCCTTTTCAGTGTAGTAGCATGAAAATGCTTCGAATCTACAAATTCTGGCTTTACATCGAATAAGTATTGTGATATTACAGTCCAAACATTAACTGGAACAAATGCCAGGTGCTCATAGCATCTTCTGGAAGTGTTCTTTGAGTTATCTGATCTGGTTTGGTAAAACCAATCATTGAATTTGGAAAGATGAATGTGCCTAATAGCATCTTCTGGAAGTGTTCTTTGAGTTATCTGATCTGGTTTGGTAAAACCAATCATTGAATTTGGAAAGATGAATGTGCCCAATAGCATCTTCTGGAAGTGTTCTTTGAGTTATCTGATCTGGTTTGGCAGAACCAATCATTGCAATTGGAAAATGAATATGCTCATAACATCTTCTGGAAGTGTTCTTTGAGTTATCTGATCTGGTTTGGTAAAACCAATCATTGAAGTTGGAAAATGAATATGCTCATAACATCTTCTGGAAGTGTTCTTTGAGTTATCTGATCTGGTTTGGTAAAACCAATCATTGAATTTGGAAAGATGAATGTGCCCAATAGCATCTTCTGGAAGTGTTCTTTGAGTTATCTGATCTGGTTTGGCAGAACCAATCATTGCAATTGGAAAATGAATATGCTCATAGCATCTTCTGGAAGTGTTCTTTGAGTTATCTGATCTGATTCGGTAGGAACCCCAGAACCGATCATTGGAATTGAAAGATGAACTGCATGATCATCTTCATTAAGAAGCTTCTTTTCAAGCTTCCTCTGCTTCTTCCACTTCCACAAATCATAGCCCAAGTTTCACCTTGGCTTGTAATTGGGATCATTGCATAATGGCTTCCCATCTTTTACCAGAAGAAATGTGTCGGTAGCCTTAGCCATTTGAGCAGCACATATAAAATTTGCAATTGATGAATCTGGACCACATATCTCCATGGCTATGGAAGCTTCAGCTTCTGAGAATCCCATTTTTGTCAAGTATAACAGTTTATTCTCCTCATCAGAATCAGAATTCAAAATTTCTTGGTATTAAAAGAACTATCGATATCTGTGAAATCATCTTGAAAGAACATTTCATAATCAGATGAGTTGTTATCAGAATCAACATGTCACATGAAGGCAAGCTTTTCAAGAGCCTATACTATTGAGTTTTATTCTCAAGAGGTTTTGTGACATTATATCTACATCTACATTTGTCAAAGATGATAGATTCTCTAATTTGAAGAAGAAAGATTTATTGGGTTTCTACAACTGAAGAAATACTCAGTTCACCAATCTGAAATCAAATAACTCAACATTCATGCATCATATTTAGGTGTTTGCAAAAATAGGTGCATTTTCATTCATTTTCATCCATAATGAATTTTTAACAGGAATTCCAAAGATTTTTAGCAAAGCTTTAAATCCATCATTTGATGGATCAGCTTTTCCAGAGAAAGTTCATAATGAGAAGAACTCATCTGAAGAAGGAAGAATAAGTTCATAATGAGAAGAATTTGTTCAACCTTTTGTTTAAATTCATCATATGATGGATTATCTTTTCCAGTTCGAGTTCATAATGAGAAGAACTCATCTGAAGAAGGAAGAAGAAATTCATAATGAGAAGAATTTGTTCAACCTTTCGCTCAAATCTATCACTTGATGGATCAGCTTTTCCAGAGAAAGTTCATAATGAGAAGAACTCATCTGAAGAAGGATGAAGAAGTTCATAATGAGAAGAATTTGTTCAACCTTTTGCTCAAATCTATCACTTGATGGATTATCTTTTCCAGTTCGAGTTCATAATGAGAAGAACTCATCTGAAGAGGAAGAAGAAATTCATAATGAGAAGAATTTGTTCAACCTTTCGCTCAAATCTATCACTTGATGGATTAAAATTTCCAGAGAAAGTTCATAATAAAAAGAACTCATCTGAAGAAGAGGAAGTTCATAATAAGAAGAGCTTATTCAACCTTTTGACTCTGTCACAGAAGGAAAGAGGTCAACATCATCCTCAGTGGAAAGTTCATAATAAGAAGAACTCATATGAAGAAAGAGAAGAATCTATTCAACAATAATCAAGTGAAGCCAAATGGATAAAAAAATTTATTATCTTTTCATCTTTGCCCTATTCTTGTTAACACAAGAATAAGCAAAGAGGGGCAGCTGAAGATACTAATTTTTTACCCATATTAATTTATTTATTATTATTATAATTATAATTATTATTATTATAATTATTATAAATATTATTATTATTATTATTATTATTATTATTAAATACATTAAATATTATAAATAATAATAAAAAATTACAAGCCAGATTTCCGGCCCAAATCAAACTGAAACCCAAAACATTTAGGGTTTCAGTTAGGGTTTCCTAACCCTAATCCCGTGTGCCGCCGCCTCAATGGTTTCCAGCCGCCTCAACAGCTTCCAGCCGCCTCCAGAAGACCCAGATGGCCACCCACGTTGCTACTCTAGCAGTGAGTCACCACTGGTAGTCCGGTGACTCACCGAAGGGTAGTCTATTACCCGATCCGATGACCACACCGGTGATGGCTATAAAGCCATCACCCCATCTGCGAGCAAGAGAAGGAGAACAACAGACCCCAGAGAGACAAAACCGAGAGTAAAAGATACAAAAATAGAGACCAAATCACAACAACCAGCAACCAAAAATAGAAGAAAAGGGAGGAGAGAAGCTTACCGAGGAAGCCACGACCACTGGAACCCTCCAAACATCACCAACAACCTTCGAAAACCGAAGGTATTTTCTTAGATTTGCTCCGATTGGGAGCTTTTTAGGAGAAAAGAGCACCGGAACCGTCCTTAGGACGGTCCGATCTATCTACTGGTGTAAAAATAAAATTTTCCGGCCACCTTATGCGGTGGCCGGCGGTGAGGATCACGGCGGCAGACGGCTGCCGCCCGGTGACCGGCTTCCCTCCGATGAGGGAAACTAGAGAGAGGCGAGAGAGTTTTAAAACTCTCTCAGTTTAGAGAGAGAGAGTAAACTGAGAAATGAGAGAGCTGGCCCTTCGGGCCAGCCATTATGGACCTTAAATAGCCTTCCCGAACGACGTCGTTTCGGGAAGGACTATGCGTGTAATTAAATAATAGTTAAACCCCGTCCGAAGCCATCTAAACTTGTAAAATTTCCATTTTAGTCACTAAATCAAGTTTATAATACTTTTAATTTGATCTTTAAATTTTAATTTTATTTATTTTAGTCCTTTATATTAAAATAATATATTTAGGATAAATAACAGATTTAATCCCTTAATTTTAATAAATAATATTTTAATCCTGAGTTCATATTTTTAATTTATTTTAATCTAATATCCGAATTTTATATAGTTTTATTTTAGTCACTAAATTATTAAATAAAGAAATAGCATGTTTAATCCCTATAATTTTGATTAATTATGAATTAGGTTTTTTAATTTTAATTTTACTATAATTTAGTCAATAATTTTAAATATTTTTATTTATTTTATTGCTTTTAAATATATAGTTCTAATTGTATTTTTATTTTACTTGTTTATATATTTAAATATTTTTATTATGTAGTCATAAATATATATATATATAATAAATAAATATTTATTTTAAATAAATTATTTTAATATTTATTTTTCAATGAAGAAGAAAAGGACAGTCTTAATATAACTGGATGTCCTATTCTGGTATTTTAAAATCAAAAATTATAAAAAAATATTATTTAATTTAAATTAATATTTATCAATATCAAAGAAAAGAGCTGCCTTAAGGCACCTAGAAGTCCTTTTCTGATATTTTTAAATATTTTTTTTAATTTTGAAATAATAGGATTATAAATTAAATATATTTTGAATTTTTAAAATTTTTAATAATAGAGACAATTTATAATTAAAAAGTACCAATTTTGGGCGTTGTAGGGGTGTTAATCCTTCCCTAAACGTAACCGACCACAAATCCCTTTTTATTATTAAAAAGAACGAATTTTTGGTTATAAACGCAGATCAGTTCATTTTTAATTGATGTTTTCTTAAAACATCTTTTAAAAAATAATTTTTAGGTATTCGACCTACCTGACCCAAAAGGCCGATGGCGACTCCCAAATTATTTTCAAAACCATTTATTCACATCAATTTTCCTGCCAAATAAATATTTCGTGCCCGGACGAAAACCGGTTACGACACTCCCCATGCCTGAAATAACCACATGAAAGAAACACCATGTTTTCATGTTCAAAATATGACAAGAAGAAGTTAAGGGGGCTTATGTTTTTTCTACTATCTGAGGCGGATCTTGGGTCAAAATTACAAACTTGGGTGTAACAGTACTTGTTTTTGACACCTATAAAAGCTTCATTAATCATAGGAAATCCCATGGGGAAATGATTTGGTTCTATCAGAAATCTCTCCATCACTTCTCCGGTTCGCACATTCAGTCTCCATTAATATGGACGATGAAATAATAACTGGTCTTCTGAAATGGCATCTTCCATTGGTTTACCGGGCTTAAATTTTGCTGGAAACCACTCAAATTGCTTTGAACCCGGTTGAGGTCTTGGTATGACTGATGCAAGAGCTCTAGACCCCCATACAACAACCTATATATACAGCTCTCTCAAATTTCAAATAGCCACATAATTCATGGTAGATAATTTAGGTGATTAAGTTACCTCATCACCATCCTCAAAGCAATTGATAATGTGAAATGTGCAATTTGGTTTCACTTCAAACCACCGGATTGAATCTTCATCTCCATAACGAGGCATTATAACTAGGGGCGGAGCATAGTGAGGGCCCAAAGGGGGACTATTAAGTTTGTATATATAATATAATTTTGGTTTAATAGTATTTTGGTTAATGTAAAAATAAATATTTAAATTAAAAAATATAAAAATTTATTAAATAATTAATCAAGTAGGACCGAACTAAAGAAGGATAACCTCATGTTCTCAAAATTTTTGGTCTAATAACAATATAGGTCATTGTAAGTCTTAATATTACACAAATTAAGAGTTATCTTGTGAATTTGAGTTTTTTCCTTTTTTAATAAATCTAGGGTGAATACAAGGTAGTATATATAAAAGACTCAATTGTTAGGAAAATAAACGAGTAATTTCCCTATAACCAGATTAGTGAGAATGCAAAATAAAAGCGGAAAAATAATACCCGAAAAATTGATAACGGAGTTCAGCCAATTGTGCCTACGTCTCCGGACTGCTGCAGATCTTTTACTAAGAGAGAAATTTACAGATATTTACAAAACACTCACTACTCACAAGAAAACTCTCTAGTATTGGGATAAAGAAATGATTTTTGGGATGATTTTGAAACTAAATGAGCTAGGGTATTTATAGTTGAAGCTTAGGGATTAATCATGTAATTACCCTAAAAAAACAATGACTAAATGTTATGATTTAACCATTACCAAATTCAACACAAAAATATGCCCTTTGAAATTGTGCACCGTTCGGTGCCAAACTTTGAAAATGCACTGAATGGTGCAACCTTGTTTGACTAACAATCTCCCACTTGAAGACTGATTTTAATCTGTCTTCACACCTCGATCATTGCAGCAGTACTTCTGTTCTTGTTACTCTAGCATGCCAACTGAAGCTGAACACAACTTCAGTTTGTCCGTGGTCACCGTCTTTGTTAACATGTCTGCCGGATTTTGAGATCAACTGATCTTTTCAAGTTTCAAAATCCCATCTTCCAGAAGAGACCAGATAAAATGATATCTCAATTGTATGTGTTTCGTCCTGGAATGAAAAGACGGATTCTTCGCTAGATGGATAACACTTTGACTGTCGCAATACAAGACATTGTCTTCTTGTGTCTTGCCTAACTCTTCCAAGAAACTTTGGAGCCAGACCATCTCCTTGCTGGCTTCCGTAACAGCGACATATTCTGCTTCAGTTGTGGAGAGAGCAACTATCTTCTGTAGTTGAGAAACCCAACTCACTACAGTTCCTCCTCGAGTATAGACATACCCTGTAGTACTTCTTATGATATCGACATTTTTGGCTAAGTCAACATCTATATAGCCTGTCAGTATCGTATCTCCACCTTTGAAACAAAGTGTTTTGTTTGTAGTACCCCGCAGATATCTGAGGATCCATTTAATAGCTTCCCAGTGTACCTTGCCTGGATTATTCATGTACCTGCTAACAGCTCCCACTACATGAGCAATATCTGGTCTAGTACAAACCATGGCATACATCAGACTTCCAATTGCTGAGGAATACGGAACCTTCACCATGTGTGCACGGTCTTCCTCCGTCTTTGGTGATTATTCTTTAGAGAGTCTAAAATGAACACCTAAAGGTGTACTTATTGGTTTAGCATCTTGCATGTTGAACCTGGAGAGTACTTTGTTGATGTACTCAGCCTGTGATAACATCAAAGGCCCTGACTTTGTGTCTCTCTTGATCCTCATTCCAAGAATCTGCTTTGCAACTCCCAGATCTTTTATAGCAAACTATTTCGACAATTTTTGCTTCAAGTTTATAATCTCTTGCATGTCTGAGCCTGCAACGAGCATGTCAACATACAACAATAAAATAATGAAGTTGTTATCGAACTTCTTGATGTAGCAACAATGATCTGCTTGGTATCTGGTAAAACCACTACTACTCATGAAACTATCGAACTTTTTGTACCATTGTCTAGGAGCTTGTTGTAAACCATACAAGCTCTTCTTCAACCTGCATACCAGGTTTTTCTTGTCTACCTCTATGAAGCCTTCTGGCTGCCTCATATAGATTTCTTCCTCCAAATCACCATGAAGGAAAGTTGCCTTTACATCTAACTGCTCAAGATGTAAATTCTCTACATCTACAATTTTCAACACCAGTCTGATTGTAGACAGTTTTACGACTGGAGAGAAAATTTCATTGTAGTCAATACCTTATTTTTGCTGAAAATCTTTGACAACCAATCTTGCTTTGTAGCGTTTACTCCCATCGTGTTCTTCTTTGATCCTGTAAATCCACTTGTTATGGAGCGCTTTCTTGCCTGGTGGTAATTCAGTTAATTCCCACGTCTGATTTGACATAAGCGAGTCCATCTCATCTTTCATGGAAGACTCCCACTTGACTGAATCCTCTACTTGCATTGCTTCATCATAGCACTCTGGTTCACCATTGTCAGTCAGCAACAAGTAGTGCAAAGAAGGAGAATACCGTTGGGTTGGTTTAGGAATTCTGGAGGAGCGTCTCAGTTCTGGTGTGCCTGGTTCTTCTTGAACTGCTTCAGGATTGATCTGAACATCATTTCTAGAAATCTCCTTGAACTCAGCAAATTCCTTTGTTTCAGCTTCGGTATTGGAGTTACTTGATTCTACAGTTGACCTGTCTTTGTACATCATATTCTCATTGAAAATGACATCTCTGCTTCTGATGATATTTCGATTTTCGTAGTCCCAAAACTGGTAACCGAACTCATCACCGCCATAACCAACAAAGACACATTTGTTGGACTTGACATCAAGTTTACTTCTTTCAGCAGAGTTTATGTGTACATAAGAAATACAACCAAACACTTTTAAGTGTGAAATATTTATTTCTTTCTTGCTCCAAACTTCCTCTGGTATTCTGTCATCCAAAGGAACTGAGGGTTCACAGTTGATCAGGTAAGTTGCAGTGTTGATAGCTTCAGCCCATAGAAATTTGGGCAATCCAGAATGTATCCTCATGCTTCTGGCATGTTCATTCAGAGTTCTGTTCATACGCTCTGATATGTCATTCTGCTACGAAGTCATGAAAACTCTTGTCTCCATCTTGATCCCATTATTTGCGCAGAAATCTTTGAATCTTCTGTTTTTGTATTCTCCTCCATTATCATACCTCAGCCGCTTGACTTTCAAACCAGTCTCATTTTCCACCATGGCCTTCCATTTTCTGAAGGTATCAAAGACTTCTGATTTCTTCTTCAGAAATAAACCCACACCTTCCTTGTTGAATCATCGATGAAGGTGACATAATGTAATGAGCTTGCAAGAGATGGAATTGGAGATGGTCCCCATACATCAGTATGAACCAACTCTAACTTTTCTGCCTTGGGTGTCTTACCAATCTTTTCAAAACTCACTATCTTTTGTTTGTCAAAGATGCAATCCTCGCATAGTCCGACATCTAAACTCTTTAGATCTGACAGCTTCCCTTTTGACAAAAGTGTCTTCATCCCTTTCTCGCTCATATGACCAAGCCTTTGGTGCCATATGTTTGATTTTCCATCAGCATCTGCTGCTGCAATGATATTCTCCAAATTTGAGGTTACATAGAGAGTGTCGGTCTTCTTATCACGAGCAATGACGAGTGCTCCTTTGGTAATCTTTCATTCACAACCTGAAAAGGTTGTACTATAACCTTCTCCATCAAGCTATCCTACAGAAATCAAATTTCTTTTGAGGCCGGGAATATGTCTCACTCCTTTCAGCTTCCAGGTGGTCTGGTTTGGCATCTTTAGTCGGATGTCTCCTTTTCCGACGATCTTCAAGGTTTTATCATCAACTAGATGAACCTTCCCAAAATCACCACTGACATATTTCTCCATGATTTCTCGGCATGGGGTAGAGTGGAAAGATGCCTCTGAATCCAATATCCATGATTCAATCAGACTGTTGACGCTTAGAATCATGGCATCACCTGTCTCCTCTGTCACGTTGGCAGATTCCTATGCGCCAGTATTTTTCTTCGGTGCTCGGCAATCTCTTTTAAAGTGACCCTTCTTGTTGCAGTTATAACAGGTAAAATCTTTCTTTCCCGTTCTGGACTTGGATCTGCCATGATTTGAATTTCTTTCTGAAGTTCTCCCTCTGGACTCCGTGTGCAAGGCTGAGGAGGTTGATGCTTCACCCGATTCTCTCCGTCGAATTTCTTCACTCAATATCAGATCCCGAACATCATCGAATTTTAATTTGCTGTTTCCCAACGAGCTGCTGACTGCTGTAACAGTAGCATTTCAACTGTCTGGTATAGATGATAAGAGAATTAAAGCTCGAACTTCATCATCGAATTCAATTTCCACTGAACTCAACTGGGTTGTAATTGTGTTGAGTTCATTTAGGTGTTGAGCCATTGATGCCCCTTCAGCCATCCGCAAATTGAATAACTGCCTCATCAAATGAACTTTGTTTGAGGCCGATGGCTTCTCATATATACTGGAGAGAGCCGCCATAAGACCCGCCGTGGTCTTTTCTTTTGCTATGTTGAAAGAAACATTTCGGGACAATATCAGACGGATAACTCCGAGGGCTTGTCTATCGAGAAGAGCCCAGTTTTCATTTTTCATGCCATCTGGTTGCTTTCCTGAGAGAGGTTGATAAAGATATTTCTGGTACAGAAAATCTTCAATCTGCATCTTCCAAAAGCCAAAGTTCGCACCATCGAACTTCTCAATTTTCACATTTCCTTCGTCTGCAGCCATCGCTCCCACTCGAATCTGGCTTCGTTTGGATCGTTTCTGACAATTCTTGTGAACCATCGTGTATTAGAACACCTCCAACGACAAATTCGTATCGTCGATAAAATTTTAATATTCACGAAATTCACTATTCATGTGAATAGTAATGAATAGTAATCTCGCAAAAATTGACAAAATTCACAACCAAAAGCTCTGATTACCAGTTGTTAGGAAAATAAACGAGTAAACGAGTAATATCCCTATAACCAGATTAGTGAGAATACGAAATAAAAGCGGAAAAATAATACCCGAAAAATTGATAACGGAGTTCAGCCAATTGTGCCTACATCTCCGGACTACCGCAGATCTTTTACTAAGAGAGAAATTTACAGGTGTTTACAAAACACTCACTACTCACAAGAAAACTCTCTAGTATTGGGAGAAAGAAATGATTTTTGGGACATTTTGAAGCTAAATGAGCTAGGGTATTTATAGTTCAAGCTTAGGGACTAATACCCTAAAAAATAATGACTAAATGTATGATTTAACCATTACCAAATTCAACACAAAAATCTGTCCTTTGAAATTGTGCACTATTCGGTGCCAAACTTTGAAAATGCACCGAATGGTGCAACCTTGTTTGACTAACATCAATTATTTAACAATAAATGCTTATACCTCACATGAGCAGTGCTCGAACTCGAGACCTCAAGAATAACAACAATTCTTTAATCACTAAAATTACTTGGTTTATGTTGAATTTTGAGTTTAAATACTTAATAAGTCTTTATTTTTTTAAATAGTCTAACTCGGCCCCTGTAAATATTTAGTTTTGTTTCCGCACTGATTATACCAATTCTTGCATATCCTTCACTTTCATATTTTATTAAACTGCGTAAAGGTTTTTTGGTTATGGCAAGAAAGAATATATTCTGATAAAGAATCGAAGAATAGGAATTAGGAACTCACTGGCCACCATGGATAAGTCTATTTACATCAACGGTTATGGGGCAATCCAAGAACACGTTATACCTGCAAATTAAAGCTCTTGGAATATTAATTGCTTTAATCAGGAAGCTGGCAATTTCCAAACCACATGTACTAAAACACTAAAGTTTTCACCTCTTTCACGGCAAAGTGGGCACCTATCGAGTTTAAGATCCAACTTGTGAAGTAATCTCTTCCCATCAGCTGAAATTACTCCCATTTCAACGAAAGGTATAGTTGCTGCAATTCCCATGGTGACCAGCTCCCCAGTACCTGGAGCTCTCTGTAATTTACAAAATGAATTGAGTAAAATATTGTTATCTGTAATAACATTCATGTAGATTTGATCAAGTACCTTAGGATGGGAAGTAAATGGTCGGTTCCATGCTCCATTGACATCCCAGTCACCTAAAGCTTCAAGTGTGAAGATGTCAATCTCTTGAGGCAATTCATTTTCAGCAATGGAGTACAACCTCCCCGAAAGCTCAAAAACGTTGGTATTACTCATATTATTGAATGGTTTTCCGAATCTCAGGTGTAGAATTACCAACAAACATAAGGATGTCAATTTCATGCTTAAATTAAACTTCTTTATGAACCCAAAGCTTAGTTAATTTTGTTTGCATAAGCAATCCCACACAGCAGGAGCATCCCCTTGGACGGCAGGAAGAAAAGAGGTTTGTTTCGAAGTTTTTCAAGCTTGAATGTGTCGGTCTCCACGTATCTGTTATTGTAAATAACAGTCCATCTCCCATTAGTGTCTTTACTCAAGTACAAAGCGTGAAGCATTCCTCCTCTTTCAACCCATATTGGACTCCACTTCCCAAACATAGATTCGGTTGACTTTAATCCTCCAAACGTTGGGCTTGGTCCTGCAAGTATAACTACGTCAACATTGACCTTTAACAGAGAGATTTCTCATGTATGTCTAACAAGGACGTACACAGCAACTTATGTTAAGGAACGAAGGTTAAAATAAATTATTAACGTAAAATATTTAAAACATAATAATTTATATTTTTTAAAGGACGGATATGGATAACCCTGATGTCACGTGACTCAGGTTACAATCACCGAAAACCTTATCTTTGATTTCATGGGAAAAAGTAATGTTCAATTTTAGACCCACTGATAAAATATAAATTAAAATCTCATATGTTCATATTTCATGTTGGAGAATTTATTCCAGCTCATTACGTCATCTATGGTTTCAATCAATGATATTTATTTAATATTATTCTTTTAAGATAAATATTCACATCTTCTTACATGTAAATAAAAAATGGATAGTTATTTAGAAATTATTTTAAAACATGTGATTCTTATTCATTGAGATCACTGATAACGTGATGAATCAGATCTATCAAATAATTTCTCCTCATATTGCGCTGCTGCATATGTCATGTGATACCAACCAATAATATTTTTACATATTATTTTGAATGACGTGATGAAGCTGGGTCTATCAAATATTTTTAACTTGTATTTTCTTTCTGTTTCCTGAGATCGGTGATTTTTTGTAGCAAACATTGCTTTTGGATAATAAAAATTCGACTTATCAAAAAATAATTATCTAACCCATGACAAACCCAATTGAGTTTTGTTGGCACTGAACCTTCCACTTCTTGCCACAATCGGCGTACCTCCTCCTCACAAGTGTTGAAAATTGGCACACCAAATTGTATCAATTGTCAACATTATGGGTGGCAATTTGGTGGCATTAATGGAGTGGCAAAATTGGTCAAATTTGGCCACCAAATTGTTGAAAATTTTGGATGGTAAAACTATGCAATTAGTCATTGTAATTTAGGGTATTTACAAATTAGTCCTTAAAGCTTCATCTATAAATACCCTAGCTCATTTAGCTTCAAAACCATCCCAAAGCATTCTAGCTTTCTTCCAATACTAGAGAGAATTTAGAGAGTTTCTTGAGAGTTGTTTTCTCCTTTTTATCGAGAGAGAATTATCATTGTTTTCTCCTTGGTAGATCGAGAGATGTTGTAATTCCTATTTTCTCATAGTGAAATTCTTCTACTGTTGCCCGTGGTTTTTACCCTATTTTATTTAGGGGTTTTCCACGTAAATTTTGTGTCTCTTTTTATCTTCATTTTTATTTTCTCAAATTATCAGTTGCGATTTTGCTCTATCCGATAACCGTCTTCCGTAACAATTGGTATCCGAGCTAGATTAGAGTGTGTAATATCTGCTTATTGTCTTTATGGTTGCCACCAAAAGGTGGATCCTCCAACATAAGAAAATAAGAAGTTATTACCCATTCTTTGAAGGTTCCAGAGAACTATTCACGATAGTGAAATAGTGGGAGCTATCTGTAGAAGAAGCTATGGCAACGAAATTTGATATTGAAAAATTCAATGGGAGAAATTTCTCATTGTGGAAATTGAAGATGAAGGCCATCCTAAGGAAAGACGGGTGTCTAGCGGCTATCAATGAAAGGCCGGTGGATTTTGCAGATGACATCAAATGGAACGAGATGGACGGGAATGCTATGGCAAACTTTCATCTAGCATTAGCAGATGAAGTATTGTCAAGCATCGAGGAGGAGAAGACAGCTAAGGAGATATGGGATCATCTCATCAAATTGTACGAGGCCACATCGTTGCACAATAAAATTTTCCTTAAGAGGAAATTGTACACTCTCCGTATGTCAGAATCTACTTCAGTGACGGAGCACTTAAATACACTGAACACCTTATTTTCTCAGCTTACATCCTTAAGCTGTAAAATAGGAGAACAAGAACGTGCTGAACTTCTACTTCAAAGTCTACCGGATTCGTACGATCAACTCATCATCAACTTGACAAACAGTAATGTCACCAGTCTAGTCTTCGATGACGTTGCAGCTGCTGTTCTACAAGAAGAAAATCGGCGCAAGAACAAGGAAGACAGACAAGTAAATCTGCAACAAGCAGAAGCGTTGACAACGATGAGAGGGAGATCAACAGAACGTGGCCAAAACAGCAGTCATAAACATGGTAGATCGAAGTCGAGGAGCAAGAAGAATTTAAAGTGCTACCACTGTGAAAAGAAGGGTCACTTGAAGAAGGATTGGTGGAGTCTAAATAAAAGCTCCAATCCACAAGGCAATACCGCAAACACTTCAGATGATGGAGATGCTCTATGCTGTGAAGCATACCACTGTGGAAGGTAGAAAAAGATTTGCAGATATATGGCTCATTGATTTGGGAGCGACATTTCACATGACCTCAAGAAGAGAATGGTTCCATCATTATAAACCTGTCTCAGGAGGATCTGTGTATAGTTGCAATGATCATGCCTTAGAGATCGTTGGTGTGGGAACCATCAAATTGAAGATGTATGATGGAACAATTAAAGTTGTTCGAGATGTGCGGCACGTGAAAGGTCTGAAAAAACATTTATTATCCTACGGATTGTTGGATAATAATGCTAGCAAGATTGAAACACGGAAAGGAATCATGAAGGTGTTCCGTGGAGCGCTTGTGGTGCTGAAAGGTGAAAAGATAGCTGCAAACTTGTACATGCTGAAGGGAAAGACATTATTAGAAGCAGAAGCCTCTGTTGCCTCATGTAGTTCAGATTCTGCAATGCTATGGTATAAGAAACTTGGACACATGTCAGAACAAGGAATGAAAGTCCTTGTGGAGCAAAAGCTACTTCCAAGCTTAACAAAGGTATCACTTACTTTGTGTGAGCATTGCATAACAAGTAAGCAGCACCGGTTGAAATTCAACACATCAAATTCTAGAGGCAAAAGTGTTCTAGAATTGGTTCACTCTGACGTATGGAAAGCACCAGTAACATCTCTAGGTGGAGCAAAATACTTTGTCTCATTTATTGATGACTACTCCAGGAGATGTTGGGTGCACCCTATTAAGAAGAAGTCAGACGTGTTTTCAACTTTCAAAAACTTCAAAGCGCGGGTGGAACTTGATTCTAGAAATAAGATCAAGTGTTTCAGAACAGATAATGGAGGATAATACACAAGCGAAGAATTTGATGACTTTTGCAAGAAAGAAGGCATCAAAAGACAGTTCATAGTGGCGAACACTCCTCAACAAAATGGAGTGGCAGAGCGGATGAACAGAACCTTGTTAGAAAGAACAAGAGCAATGTTGAGGGACGCAGGCCTAGAAAAATCATTCTGGGCAGAAGCAGTCAATACCGCCTGTTATTTGGTGAATCAAGCTCCATCAACTGCAATAGAGCTGAAGACACCAATGGAGATGTGGACTGGTAAACCAGTTGATTATTCAAACCTCCATGTATTTGGAAGTATTGTGTACGTGATGTACAACGCCCAAGAAATTTCAAAGCTGGATCCAAAATCCAGGAAATGCAAATTCTTGGGGTATGCTGATGGAGTAAAGGGGTATCGCTTGTGGGATCCCACTGCCCGCAAAGTGATCATTAGCAGGGATGTTATCTTTGTAGAAGATAAACTACAAAGAAAAGAAGACGATGATAGCGCTGAAAAGTCAGAGACTACTCAGATATATGTGGAAAAAGAGTTTGAAGAAGGAGATTCTTCTGAAGCAGAACCAGCACATGATGAACAAGAACCAGAGAGTTCTGAAGCTCCAACAACTCGTCAATCAGATCGTGTGAGAAGACGTCCCAATTGGCACTCAGATTATGTTATAGAAGGTAATATTGCATACTGCCTTTTAACAGAGGACGGTGAGCCATCAACATACCAGGAGGCAATAAACAGCTCAGATGCTTCACTGTGAATGATGGCGATGCAAGAAGAAATCGAAGCCCTTCATAAAAATAATACATGGGACCTTGTGCCACTACCACAAGGAAGGAAGCCAATTGGTAACAAATGGGTCTTCAAAATCAAGCGAAATGGTGACGATCAAGTTGAGAGGTATCGTGCAAGACTGGTGGTCAAAGGATATGCTCAAAAGGAAGGTATTGATTTCAATGAAATATTTTCTCCTGTGGTTCGACTAACAACAGTTCAAGTAGTTTTGGCAATGTGTGCTACATTGAACTTACATCTAGAGCAGCTAGATGTTAAAACAGCTTTTCTTCATGGAAATCTTGAAGAAGAGAT